ATAAGCCTGTAATTCATTGGTTGTCGTTTGTTGTTGTAACAATATAATATAAATATTTCGATTCTTGTCTTGTACTTAAATCATACCGTTAGTTTTTCTCGTTTGAATTGTTTTACATTTGTCAGATCGGGGTCTTTTATGATAGCTTGCTACACCGCGTTTTTCTCATTGTTAAAGGCCGCAAGGTGACATACATAATAGATGCTTACTTCTACGTCATTTGGTCTCTGTTGGAAAGTTGTCCCGTTAGCAATCCTATCATATCGTTTTATTTTTGTATTGATGGATGGCCGCTTAAGTTGTTTACATCCTACTCTTTTGGTCACTAGTAACTTGTAGCTAACTCATTGACAATCATATCACATTCCCTCATTTCTATATGGCTTGCTACTTCAGATTTTCGGGTTTATTGATGTGAGATTGTATAACCAACACCCGGTTAACCCAATATTTTAATACCAATGTATTTACATTATTCGTAACTACCAAATTTAATAATAAATTTTAAACTTTTAAGATAAAAATTATAAACGTAGAAGTGATACATTATGAAAAAGCTTTTCAGCACATCGAAAAAATCAAAGTGCTGGATAGCACCTGTGGAAAGTTTGCAACGGTAGATGTGTAATATTTCAAATAGGTTGTTAATGTGTAGATTGGGTGTTTAACTTTTTTTCCGACTATAAAAAAAAAATACTAATACAAGAAATAATTGTAACTTGATGCTGTTACGAAGTCTCCTAAACAAAGCTCCCATATTTATTCATTCCCAGGAAGGGGGTGGGAGGGACCCAAGGGGATTCACCTTTTATTTCATTTGATTTGTTTTATTGTCCCATACAAGAATATATATGGTTTCGGGGTGGGGATCTTGACCGTTTAAAAGTTTTCAAAAAGAATGGGGTGGGGATGACACCCAGGGACTCCCCCTATATTTCATTTGATTTGTTTTATTGTCCCATACAAGAATATATATGGTTAAGGGGTGGGGATCTCGACCGTTTACAAGTTTTCAAAAAGAAGGGGGTGGGGTGACCCCTGTGGACTTCCTCTATATTCCATTTGATTTATTTTATTGTCCCATACAAGATTATATATTGTATATGGGTGGGGATCTCGACCGTTTACAAGTTCTTAAACAGGAAGGGGGTGGGAGTTTCATTTGATTTGTTTTATTGTCCCGTACAAGAATATATATGGTTTCGGGGTGGGGATCTTGACCGTTTACAAGTTCTCAAAACAGGATGGGGTGGGGGCGGCATCCAAGGACACCCCCTTTATTTCATTTGACTTGTTTTATTGTCCCATACAAGAATATATATGGTTTAGGGGTGGGGATCTCAACCGTTTACACGTTCTCAAACATGAGGGGGTGGGGCTGATCCAGAGGGATTCCCGCTACAATGTAGTAGTAAGCGTCGAAAAATGTTCATTCATGAAATATTTTAAACACGGTATTTATTTTCTCTTCAACCGGAGGACGGGAGGAAACCCCTGAAACTAGGATTATAGTACTCCCGTTGATATTGATCTCACGTATGTCTGGGGAATACCGATAAAAGCATAACGTAGAAACTGCTGTCTCGTGTAGATGTGTATTGATTTTACTTTCCGCGCAGCGCAGATCCGCGAAGTAGTGTTTGTGATAGCCATTTTCAAAATGAAGTTGAATTATTTGAATTATCGATGAACATTCAGTACATTTTAATTCAAACTGTAGGCTAATCAAAATAGAAGTAACTCAAAATTTCAAAAGCATCTTCCTAGAATTAGTTGTCAAACACCAGTATTACATTATCTAGGAGTAGAACACACATTCTAAAGTAAGATAGTCTGTCACTTCCGGTTTGAGGCCGATGCATTAGGAAAGTTTTTGCTATAGCAAGCTATAGCAAACTTTCCAAAAATTAACGATCGTGACTGTACGAAACGAGCAAGTTTCGTATATAGGGATATTCAACTGACCAGAAGAATTTTAGAATTAACCTAGCTAAAACATTATAGCAAACTGGTTTGTTAGGAGGACAAAGCCATTTGAATTGACCTTTTTGTACTGTAATATTATGATTTGTCAATGGCAACATGAAGGAGCCTATTGTTTACTTGAAGTACTCTCAAACACAATTGATTTAATCAGAAAACAATCGTGTGACCTTGTATACTATTAATTTAAAACTGAATAATTGTGATTTAAAAGAATGATTTGACTTAGACATAAGGGAAAACGCCGATTGTTTTCTAAAGTACCGTCTCAAAAACAGGAAGGAACATTTCAACAATTGTAATTATCATCAATCAGTGCAATATAATTCACTTGTCATGAAATAATATTGAACCATAATAATTATGCAAATATCATACAATATGATAGACAAAAACAAGAGGCTCACAAGAACCTACATCGCTCACCTGGTAAACATATTTCATTTTGATATATCATATATATATTTACTTTTATGTTTTCTTATTTTATTTGTAAATATATCTGTAGATCTTTTTTTAATCCTAATTCAAATATTCAACATTTATATACAATAAATATATTACATAATACACAAGAATATTCACTAAACAATGGTTAAAAGTAATATAATGACATATATCATCAACACAATAATCAAAAATCGAATGCAATGACACCTTCAGTCTCTTGCACAACAATATTGTACTTTAAAAACTGTTTCTCAAAAAACATTTCTCATGCATTTTACACCACACAAATATTCAATCAATAACAATCGTCACGTAAGGGCAATAAATCCAATACGGATTCTGACAATTTTTATTGATTTTTTTTTATTCAAAAGTTTCTTCTTTTCTTTTGATAAAAAATGCAGAAAATGGCGAAAATCATTATTCACGGGAAATAACTCATATAAGGTGTCGGTTGACAATATCGGCCATGTTGACTTATTTGTAGGTCTTATTGTGGTAATGTTTGTTTGCTATTCACTGTTTCTCCCTTTCAATTTTAGTTTTTAACAAAACACAAACATGGGTGAAAATCATATTTCAATGGCAATAACTCCTCTTAGGTGTCTAGTGACGATTTCAACTACTTGACGTATTCGTTGTTCTTATATAATAATTGCTGAATATATTTGCTGTTACATGTAGTGTATTGTTGCTATCTCTCTATCATAGTTCATGCAAGAATTCATAAAATGGGTAAACATTATCTTTCAAGGGCAATAACTCCTATAAGAAGTCAACTGACGACTTCGGTGAATTGACTTATTTGTAGATCCTATATTACTGAACGTTATTGCTATTAACTATTGCCAGTTTCTATCTATCAACTATTGTTTTCGCAAAAAAATGCAAAAAAGATAAAATCATCATTCAAAGGCAACTACTCCTATAAGGGATCAATTTAAGATTTCTGTCATGTTTGACTGATTTGTAGATCTAATTGTTCTGGTCCTTTTACTGTTTTCAGGATGTAACCAGCCCATGGTTCCAGAGGAGAAGATTTTTAAAAGACGAAGGACGGACGGCAATATATTTCTGTACAGGACTTTTACATGTACCATGTGGAGCAGATCCTGGTTCCGCCCCCCCCCCCCCCCCCCCCCCCCCCCCCCTCAGCACATGAGATCAATGCTGGTTTTTGGTGGGGTTCGTGTTGCTCAGTCTTTAGTTTTCTATGTTGTGTTTTGCATACTGTTATTCGTCTTTTGATGGTTTTTTTGCCATGGCATTGTAAGTTTATTTTCGGCATATGAGTTTGAATATCTCTTTGGTATCTTTCCCCTCACTTACCTTTTAATTTTAAAAAAGTTTCTCTTACACTTCAATATCCATGAAATAAATATATATTCAGCTCTATAAATTGCTGTTGAAGAAATTATAAATAGAATAACTATTTTGCGGATTATGATATTTGACATAGGCCATTTGTAACTAAATTGGGGTAAATTTGTTTTTAAATGGCGATGCATAGAATCGCAGATGTTTGTTTGTTCTGGTTTGGAATTTAAATTCTGGTTTCTTTTGAGAAAAATGTTCAACACCAATTGCAATCAAATCTATCAAAATGCAGTTATGCGCTATTTACAAAATATTGTTTTAAAAGTTAGAAACAAATGGGCGCGGTATATGAGACTGCCTATTCCACCAACAGGTCCAGAGTCCTGATTAGCAGGATTTACATCATCCCACTTCTCTATCATTATTATCATTCAAACCAATGCTTTGGCAGTTTTAGGAGGCGCACACTCACCGCGCCACTGGACTGGTATTACACTGTAACTTTCACTGACGCTAAGAGTTTGTTGTAACATGAATGGCATTTTTTCTGTTGATCTTCGAGTGAGTTACCTTCTTTAATTCTTAAAGGAGTGCATTAACGGAATGGTTTATCAGTTTAGTTATTGCACTATCAAATCCGCCGTTGACCGATTGTCATAGGATTGGGAGGAGTTTAGACCAGTGCTCTAACTTCCATCTTTGATAGTTGTTGTTGCATGTCTGGCTACGTACTTGATGCATTTAATATATTAATTCGGAAAAAGCGTGCTATATATTATTCTTATATAGGAACTGTTTTTCTTTTTACCCTCAAAGTACACAATGAAGCCTTTGTGTATTGAACTGTTATGAAGATTCAAAGTAGTCTTTATGCATGAAAGTGAACAATGCTTGTGAAAGAAATGTCCTACTTCATAACAAAATAATATGTTAATTATCTATTCATCCAACTTTTATAATTTTATCAAATAAAGTCTTGTCTTAAACTGGTCACAATTTAATACAAATGACATTCATATTCCTCTAAAAAAAGTCAAATGAGCAATAAATAAGGCCATTAATTTTCTCGTTTGAATTGTGTTACGTTTATCATTTCGGGGCATTTTATAGCTGACTATGTGGTAAGGGCTTGGCTCATTGTTGAAGGCCGTACGGTGACCTATAGTTGTTAACTTGGTGTCAGTTGGTCTCTTGTGGAGAGTTGTCTCATTGGCAATCATACCACTTCTATTTATTTTCATAATAATATGTTTCGTTATTTCAAAGTTTATTAAATCAAAACAAATCAAAACAAATACATGTACATGTAGCATACAATTGTAAAAGTGATCTTTAAACTATTTATACTTACACTATTCCAAAGTCATTACATTGCCATGAAAAAAGTAAAATAACAAAAATACCGAACTCCAAAGGAAATTCAAAACGGAAAGTCCTTCATAAAATGGCAAAATCCAAAGTTCAAACACATGAAACGAATGGAAAACAACTGTCATACTCCTGACTTGGTACAGACATTTCCGTATGTAGAAAATATTGGATTAAACCTGGTTTTATAGCTAGCTAAACCTCTCACTTGTATGACTGTCGCATAGAATTCTTTTTATATTGACAACAATGTGTGAGCAAAACCCTTGATCTTATCAATGCATAAACGATAGTTGCATAAATGCATTTTATATATCTGCAGGTTTTACATCATAACTATGGTAACAACAAAAAACAAAAAAACAAAAACGAAAACACAAAAAAAATAATAAAATTGAGAACTCTGTCAAGTGTAAACGAGTTAGTATACTATGAGACTACATGTATATCGCAAGAACTACTAGTGAAATTAATAAACAAATATTATGCCCCAAAAGAAGTGCACAAAATAGGCAGTATTCAGCTGTAAAATGTTTACAAATATATTACAAGAAGAAATTATAAACACTGTAATATCACATGGATACATTTACTGACAAGTTTAATAATTCTGACAAAGTGAATATATAATAGAGCGATGTTCTCACTGATGTTGAAACACAAAACTGAGTGACTTAAAACAAATCTACTACTCGTATCATTAAGTTGATAGTCGTCTATCAAGTTTAAAATTGTCGAAATCTAGTACAATGGTTTTGTGACGCGAAAACAAATGTTATTTTAAAGTAAGAAGCGGTTCGGAAATTTTACTTCTGTCTACTTTATGTCCGAAACCTATATCTATATAAATTCAATACCAAGCAAAAAATTACATTTGATCAACGACAAAAATATTAATAAAAAAGAACCCACTGTGGATGAGAAGGTGCGTGTTTTACAATAGAAGCAATCGACATGGTATGTTAGCAAAATACGTTCATTTGCAGAAAGAAAGAAAAAATCATGTCAAAGAATATTTAAAATATCGTCAGTAACAGCCAATGATTCTGATTCTCATCGTGTATGATAAATATAGAAAGATACTGACAGTATCTCAATACGCCTTCGTGATTAAGCAAAACACTGAGCATGAGTCCATTATGTGTACACAAGATATTCAGTTGTATAATCATTCGCATAAATTATGAAACAATTAAACTCTACACTAGCTTTTCACAACTAAGATCTAATTTTGAAAAGAATATTCTTAATATTAAACAGCAGTATTCCAGAGTTTCATAATGTATGAAAAAGATCATATAACATTCTCCATTCGTCTTTTCCTTCTTAAGCCATCCGCTAATTGTTCTTTAAAGGTCATTTTAGCCTCCGCTGAATCTTCCCACGTGAGGAAGTCGTGCCTTTCCATCTTACGCAGCAATAACCTCGGAACATGTCTGGCGGTGAGTCCATCAACATTGACAATCAGAATATCAGAAATTTTGCCCTTTTCCAATAAATCGATCGCTGTAATGATTTCAAACTTGTATCGCTCTTTCGCCATGTATTCTTTTGTAAGTATAATGAGTACAGTTCGACTAGCTTCCATGTTCTCTATGATGTTATATACTTCAGCTTTTCCTGGCTCGGCGTCTCGGTCCTCGAAATACAGTTTGAATTCACCACCGAATTTTTCAGTGTCCAGATCTCCGCTGTCTATCCCAGGAAAGATATTTTTCAAAACCCATTGATAATTGTCGCTGGCACTAGAAATGTATGCATCGTATTTATTAACATCGCCATTAAGTCTCTGATAACCGCCAGTTCCGGTTCCACCAGACCTTTTCAATGATCGACGAATTCTATACCATCGGAGCTTGATGTACCAACGTCTTTTGTACACGATAGCAATTACTATAACAAAAACTAGGAAACCGCCTACTGCTGCAAATATAATTTCTCTTCTTGTAAACCAGACACAATTTATTTTATGTCTGTCAAAAGAAAGAAGCTTCTTTCCATGCCATTCTGGGGGCGAATTGCAGAGATATGTTTCGTTGTGCAAAATTGCTATTTTTGTTGTATTTATCCAATCACGGAACCATCGCAAGTCGCACGTGCAAGCAAAAGGGTTCTGACGTAGATCAAGAGTTTTCATTTTCTTAAAGTCTCCAACAGATGACGAATTGACCAGTGCAATCATATTTTGACCAAGATCAAGATTTTCTAGTTTGAAAGTTCTTTTATATAAGTTGTCTCCCCATGATGATATTTTGTTCGATCTCATTGTAAGGTTTTGTAGATTTATCAGATCTTTGAAAAGTGGACCCGGAAGCTGCGTCAATTGATTGTTGGTCAAGTTCAATACGATAAGTTTGTCCATTCCAGCAAACAGATTACCATTGACGTCTCTAGCAATCAAGTCACCAAGTTGATTATTTTCAAGGTGTAAATACCTAAGCGATGTAAGGACTTTAAAAAGTCCCATAGAACAGGATGAAAATGCATTGTCAGCCATGTTCAGATACAGCAGAGATGCCATTGATGCAAAGAGACTGTCACCGTTCGGAATTTGGTTTATATTATTTTTATTTAGTTCGAGTGAATCTAAAACAACGAAAGATTCGAAGAGTCTTCCTGGTAAGGTATGGATCTTATTATTTACCAGGTGTATCTTTTTTAAGCTAGTAAGGCCAAAGAATGCTTTCTGTTCAAGTTGGTGAATTTTGTTCCCTCCTAAGTATAGTAACTGTAGTTTTGACAACTTCATAAAGGTATTGTCTTTCAACGCCGAGATTTGGTTGCCATTTAAATATAACTTTTGTAATGATGGCGGAAGATTGTTAGGTACCTGGGATAGCTGATTGTCGTTTAGGAATAACCCTGTTAAGGCATCCAGCCCTTCAAAAGCACTGTCATCTATTTTGAAAATGTTCGCAGCTCTGAGATCTAAGCTAATCAACTTCTTTAAATTTGCGAACCCCTTTTGGGGTATACTGCTCATTTTGTTATTTTTCATACTGAGTGTCGTTATTGGTGTATTCTGAAGTAACTGAAAGGTGGATGAGGGTAATACTCCACCAAGAGTTATATTATCTATATTCAATGAAACCAGACTCGATCCTACAAGACCATGGAATGCCATCTCTAAATCTGAACTTGTCAAAGGATTATAGCCTAATTTAAGGGATGTTATATTCTTCAGCCACTTAAAAGCACCGGTAGATATTTCATCAATTTTACTCCTTGATACTTCCAGTTTCCGTACATCTGAATTTTGCAAATTTTTAAAGGTCAAATCATCAAGTTTCCTGATTGCGTTGTTACTCAAGCCAATGTCGTTAATTTTCTTCAGATCCTTAAACTCATCCGGAAACTTGGGATTAGAAATTTGGTTCGCCTGTATGTAAAGACTTTTAAGACTTTTTAATTTCCCAAGTCTTGGAATTTCGGACAAATAATTACTGTCCAAGTTTATTAACTGAACTGATGGAGTGTCTTCAAAGGCATCTGGTTCTATTTTTTGAATGTCATTGTTGCTTAGAAAGACCTGGGTTAATGAAGACATATTTAAAAAAGTTCTGCTTTCTATCACAGATATCTTATTGTTCCTAAGATACAACTTAGAAAGCTTAGGAACAATGATCCCATCAAATGCGTTAGCTTGCAATCCTGCGATTTTGTTATTGTCCAGCCAGACATATCGAAGGTTTGGTAAGACGACATTTGCAGACAAATTAACGTGTATTATATTGTTGTGTGTCATATATAGCTTCTCAACTGACTTCGGAAGCCTGTCTGGAACGTTTAAAAGTTTATGTCCTGCGCAATTCACCGATGTCAATTGTTTGTTACAGAAACATTTCTTCGGACAAATGTCTTTAGCCATGACGCTAGTGACCAACACAAGGACAAATACTTGGAAAAGGAACATCTGAATATAAAAAAATTACAAACATTTACAAATATTGTAAAATGTAGAATTAGGAAAAAGTACTGAGAAAATCTGAAAAAAATTAAATATCAGAATAATCATGATATTAAGGGTATAAATTATATTTTCGATTTTACTCTGAGAGCAGACGATATATATATTTTCATTCGGCAAAAAGAGGTCAATCACAGGATTGATCAAAGTACAGATTTTTTTGTTTGGTTAAAATATCCTTTCCTTGTATCCATGGCTGCGTTTGTTCCAGAAGTTAACAATTTACAACATGAGGGAATTACCGTTTGATATAAAGGCGGGGCAGGATGATTTTTTTGCGCACGGAACATATATTCATTTGCATTGCCACATGTTGCTAGCCACTGAGGCTTATCTATTTTCTAAGTTGTGCGTACTTAATTACATGTATAACCTGTATTTTGTTTAGGTAGAATTATCATTTTCATCCTGTCTAGAATATCGTTTTATCTTAAAATCTTACCAGGCCAGGATGATCATTTCAACCCCCCCCCCTTTTCTCCCCTCATTCCGAAAATACGAAATGGTCGTCTTCTTATGTGAAAATGAGAGTTCAATTTGAAATTTAATGGGTAAGCCAAAATTTGTAATTTTTCTAATCGGTTTCCGCTCAAATTAAATATTTAACTAACTAACATCATGCAAACATTTCAATAGTTTGGTAAAATGTTTCCTGGATAAAGCTATTGCTCATATTTAAACTCTATTGAAAGGTGTTCAATATGAGGCAATTTGGATGGTGTATATACATGAATAATATTGACTAATAAGAAAAATACTCCTTTAAGCGTAAAAAAAATATGTCAGAAGTCTTGACCACAAACACAGAGATTATTTTAAACGTCATAAAAGTCCAACACAAAGTTATAAATGAAACAGATCTTAATTTTGCATGTATCATTCTTGCAAAGTCTGACTGGTCAGTATTGACCAAGACGACTGTTTGAGAGGGATATCATCAAACTGAACAGATTTTCATTCAATTGGAACGAAATGAAAATAATTTGTTGCTGGTTTTCAATACATTATTTCTGCAAGTTTGTCAAATATGCCTAGTCGTTTGAAAGAACGAAATGTATTTAGGGCTTCAAAGGAAGAGATATGCCACCGAATATAACACTATTTTCTCGTAAAACTAGCTTCGTGCACAGTTCCTAAACTAACGAATTATATAAAATATAAATAATAATTCCTTTATTCTTTGATACCCATTTGCCCAGTTAAACAGTATGAAAGCAAACATATGAGAGTACTATGTATAAAAAGACGACCGGTTTTGTTGCAAATTAGCCAACAAAACAATAAAAAAAAACTCAAAAGTAGACATTTTAATATTTGCTATGTTCTAATGTTTGCTACTGGAATCAAAATAATATTTCTCTAAATGAAATCTTTGTCCATACATAAATTATAAAAAAATATTTTCACTTACCTCTACAAATCTCAATTAATCTTTGCCTATAGACTCAAAACGCAACTTGAATCCGATAGCTGAATCTAAATGAAATTATATAGAAAAGAGGTTTAATTTTCATATACATTAAAGCACAGCGTATAAATCGTGAAATTCAGGTAACATAAAATCATTAGAAAATGATAGTCTAAGAATAGTAACTTATACGTAATGATTGAGACTTTCCAGTAAACAAAAAAATATGTAAAACGAAAGCACATTTATGCGTGGGTGTTATTCAGGATGATAAGCATAATTATGTTCATGAATTTCACAGGTCCACAATATATAATTTGAACGATAATTAGTGCAAGAGACAAAACAGAATTAAAAAGTATTTCAAGCTTTTTATTTTAAGTAAACATTGGAACATTTCGTATTTACAGACCTAAACCTAAAACAGTTGCTCCATGGCCGAATGATTTCGTATTGGCTGTACCATACCCTTACAAAGCTTGAAGGGGTTGTAATATTTCGTAGACCAGGTTTTAGGGGCATTCAGTTAAATATTTACAAATAAGACGTTTGCCTTCTAGGATTTTAAACTATAAAGTTCAGTAAGTTGCTATCGTTTAGAACATTCGTCAATGTTTCTTTTGAGTAGCCTTTCTACTTGTGCCTACTTTACAATACAGGAAATAGGAATGCACTATGTATCATTCAAACCCTTGCACATAGTTAAGATTATAAGATATAACAGCTACATTGTAATATATATACAATATATATATATATATATATATCACATCTGTTCTAAATGACTTTTTATAGGGATGACACTTAATTATTTCGCAAACAGAATTTATCTTTAAAAAATAGTATCACAGTATACTCAACATATCTTAAAATTCAATTATGCTAAAGTCTGATTTTTTGTTGTTTCTTATCGTCTTCATTATAAAAATATTATAGTGAAAGGCTTTATTGGTGGTCACATGGTAGTATAATCGCCTCGATTGCGAGATAGCAGACAAATTTTAAAGCAAAGACTAAAATTGATGTTTGCTACTTGTACTAGGATGAAATTTGAAAAAAAGGCAAGATAGGAGTTTGGAGTTAAAAAAAAAAGGCAGGATGAGCAACTTGGCAAAAAAAAAAAGGCAGGATGACAATTTATGTAAAAAAAAGTCAGGACCGAATAGAGTGAAAAATAAAAAGGTAGGACAGAGATTACAACTAAAAAAATGCAGGACAATTTTTTTTTATCCCAGCCCCTCCCCCCGAAAAAAAAACGCTCAGGATAAAATTCGAATATCACGGCCCAGGCCATGTGTAAATTTCCAACAATACTATGGCTTCCATGAATTATTTCTTAATTTTATTATGGCTCTATTCATATGACGTAATACTATAAGCACCCCATATTAAATTATTTGATTATTTTAAAAGTCAACACCTTATTAAGTCTGACGCCATTTCCAGATTTCAGTAGAATATGACAGTTTTGTGCACAAATCGCATTGTTTATTGAGTATTTTATTATGGCTCTACTCATAATTCCGATCTTATTTGCAAATATCACATAATAATCTGATTTTATTAGTGGAATCCGAGTGACTGAAATTGAAAAGGATAACATATCGATTATTCTGTCTTCTGCACAACGAAACAAAAAGCATGGTGACAAAGCAACTCGCCTCCTTAAAATTGTGCGTTCATGTAGTTGACCTTTGCGTTGACATTCAGTAGATTTACATCCAATATTTTGAATGGTGAAAAATTCAAAATGTTTGATTGAAAATCAGTTCATGTTTAAGATACTTTTGATACCTTTCCTGAAATTCTCCAGTCATCTTTTACAAAATTCATCCTACAACAGATTACATACTTTCAACCACACTCTAAATGCCCGCGATTTAGCGGGTGTGTTCTAGTGTTTTATAAAACTAGAGGCGCTAAAGAGCCTGTGTCGCTTACCTAGGTCATTAATGGACTCTCTCCAACATTGTAGACAAGAATAGAATTCATGACAAAAATTTCTTTTTTTTTGTTAATCTTGTATTGCTGATCATTTTGTCTGTTTAGTTTCTCTCTATCTTCTTTAGTTTTTGCTCAAAACACAAAAGAGGGTAAAACAATCCTCATTTAAGGGCAATCACTTCTATGATGAGTGACAGTCTAGTAACTATATCGGCAAAATTTGACTTCTTTGTTGATCTTGCCTTGCTGATCATTTTTGTTGTTAAAGTTTCTATTTATATATTATAATTTTTATCATATATAAGACAAAGCGCCAAAAAAAAATAATGGTAAAAATCGTCACTAAAGGGCAATAACTCTAATGAGGAGTCATCGGAAAATTTCCTACATATTGTCTAAAATGTAGATCTTGTCTTGTTGATCATTTTTGCTTATTTGAGTTTCTATCGATCTATTATAATCTTAAAATATAAGGCAAAAACGCAAAAGATTGGTAAAAATCGTCATCAAAGGAAAATAACTCAAATTAGGAGTCGACTGACGATTTCGACCATGCCCGTGCATACTTATTCGTAGATTATGTCTTGCTGATTATTTATGCAAATTAAAGTTTCTCTCTATCTGTTATAGTTTTCTGCCCTTGTCAGATTTTCTCTATTAAAAACGGTTTTCAAAATAAATAAACAAAACTTGCATTTTACCCCTATGTTCTCCGGCTTTTTAGCCATGTCGGTCATCTTGGTTGGCAGGCGGAGTCATCGGACACACTTTTTAAACTAGATATCCTAATGATGATTCTGGCCAAGTTTGGTGAAAATTGGTCCTGTAGTTTCAGAGAAGATTTTTGTAAAAGTTAACGGAAGACGACGGCAGACGACGGGCGACAAGTGATGAGAAAAGCTCACTTGGCCTTGGGCCATGTGAGCTAAAAAGGGGGGAATTCATCACTCACTTCAAGGTTTAGACGACACTTATCGACGGATAGCAATTCCTTGTTAAGTGGCGACGACACTACAATGACACAAAACAGGGTAAAAATACCACACAAGGGGACAACCATTTGATATATTAAGGAGGAGGAGGAGGAGGGACTGAAGTATTTTTGTGGATTCACTATTCATTTTCATCTGTTGCTACGCATGCTTATTTTTTTTAGCTTTGTACACACTGGATTTTGTGTTGCAGATTATTGATTTTCAATCTTTCTTCAATATGCAAGGTTATCAATTTCCAGCTTTGATCAGGTCAGAATATTCCTTTTATAAATCCCCCTGTACCCTCCTTCCAAGAAAATCAAATGGTCGTCCCCTACCGTTATGTTTTTTTTTATCTTTCTCAGCACTATAGCAATATGATTGGACGGACATTCTACAGTGTTTGCCTCTAATCAATTAAGGTAGTAACTCATTTTAATTTTTAATCTCTAAACGAGATTCAAGCGGAGCATCTATTTGAATTTTTGCAATAAACCTGACCAAAGGATACACATAATTAAATCAACATCGGATGAACAATTTGCAAATGACGTGCGAAATAACGTTGTAATGTAAGTATATTTTGTACACAAGAAAATTATAGTTGAAAGCATACCACGCACCTTTTATATCTATCATTTGATGACTATGATACCTTAATAACATTTACGGTACCAATTCTACTGCACCAGATGCGCATTTCGATAACCAGTGCCTCTTCAGTGATGCTCGAGGCCAAATTATTTTTGAAAAGATAAAACCACAAACTGAAATTCATGACCAAAGTAAGGCCAAATTCGTACAAGAAATCAGAGCTATGCATGCGGGAGATACCTCCCTAATCTTCGTGTGTTTCTTTATATTAATTGACGAACGTGGAACAGAGTGAATTATAAATCTAGGTTTTCCCAATTTTCGTCTGTACACTAACAGTAGTAAAAAAAAATGCATCTGTAAATATCCAAAGTTATTATACCAAAGCCATGTGATGCATATTCAAAAAGGAATATAACACGACCTTACAAACTATTGCTTCCAAAGAGAATAATATTGGTATTAAAATTTACTTACTACTTTGATCTGATCTGTAAACCTGAACACATGTTACACACACAGACAGAAACTTTGATGATAGATGTACGTTTGTATAGAGGGAAAATCCCATTTTATTTAAATGTCCAGTAAGGTCAAGTGGGTTATCCGGAATCCCCGATAACTTAATTTATATGTCACTTGAAAGATTACAATTAAAAACGGAAAATACCATTCAATCGTAATGACGTGTCTGGAAAAGTAACCTTGTAACTAACATACTAATTTAACTGACTCATAATCTAGGTCAAGTCGATATTTAAAAATAGAAGTAAACAAATATTATAATGAGTGAGGATTTTCAGAAAATCGAAAACGAAAGTAATCAACAAGTGGTATGAACACGATGACCTAAAATTATATTGCTTCGGTGTTACCCTGTGACAAACTAAGCTTCTGGCAGACTTGACATATATATCTTAAATGTATTTGACGAAAGGAGATGTATGGGTTATATGTGACGCACAGGCACTTATAATATGTCTCTTTAAAAAAATACCTATAACAACGTTATTGTTAAAAGAATGACCATTTAACTTCAAGGGGGAGGGGGGAAGGAGGGGTTTCTGATCCTGAATTTGATGAAGAAAAAAAATATTGTGGTCAAGCGGATGACAAAAAAAAATATTCTGAATCCAGATTATCCCCATACCTTATGCGCTAAAAAAAATCTGACTCGGACAAAATACCATACCCCCCTTTTTTTGAAGTTAAATGGTTGCTCCCTAAAGTATAAAGGTGTTCTTTTCAAAGACAATTGCCCGTAATGTGACGGTCTGGATGCGTGCAGATAGGTAGATGTTTTAGGGGGGACGAGGAGTGGTCTTCATTTTCTGTATTCTTGAATTTCTAGACCATTATTCATTATTTTGTTTGCCTATCATCCTTTATTTTTTTATATTTAAACTCCCTTTATTCTTATATTTTAATTGTTTGTCCATTTTCGTCTATATTCTTTATTTTTTTTACCCATTTTTTCTCTATTTTATAAACCCTCATATATCAATCAATGAGACAGCATACCAACGACTTTAAAAAATTCGAAAGTCATCTAGAGGTAAACATAGTTTACACTTGTACTCTTCAATATAATACAAAGAGATATGGTCAGGTATATGTATGAGGGGACTGAAGGGTTATTTTCGTCCTTCGTGATCGTGGAATTTTGCTTTCCGTGATTCGTTTTTTCATGGATTTATTATCCGTGACTCGTAATTAATGCATTTTTCGTGACTCGTTTTCAATTCAATTCTATATACGTTCTTCGTGGTGAAGGTGTTAAATCTTCGGTTTTCGTGAACAGTTTTGTGGTATTAAAGTAAAAATCACCTTGATTTATCTTAAGAATTCTTCAATATTTATTAATAAGGGTGTCGCTGGGTTTTGTTAACCCACCTTTTTCATGTACTTTATGTTAACCTTCATCCATATTGGTTGTGTTTTGAGTGGTCTGTAACAAAAGAAGAAATTCCAAAGTATCAAAATAGGGGAAGTTCGTGTAAAAAAAACAGCATCAAATACAGCCAGGAACATCAAGAAAGCTTACAGACGAAAAAAAACATCGTACTATCACCTTGTATAATAAGTCCCATCCCCCCCCCCCCCAATTTTCCGAGGAATTTTATTTCTATTTTGCAGTACACACTTTAAATTTAAATTAAGTGCCTATCCCCTTATTCCGTCGCCATTTCATGTGGTTTGAAGGTATGTTTGTAATATATTATATATTTATAATATAAGTGTAAATCCTTTAATTTTGTTCCATTAATGATGTCTTAACAAAATCAGTTACAAATATATATCGAAAAAGACAAGTGTCACTTTTTTTCGTTCGATATCGTGATGCTGTCCATGCCAATGTTAGCGATATTTATTCCAAAGAATTGCGTATAATTAAACATCTAAAAACAAACTGGAAACATTCATTTGACTCAAAGGGACTTGCTCCCGCTGTTACTACGTTAACTATTAGTCCTATAACATATGACCTCGGGGGCATTTTTTATTATTTCTATTTACTATTTCTGATATTTTTGACCTCGGGGGCATTTTTTACTATTTCTATTTACTATTTCTGATATTTTTATTTACTATCAATGTGCCACCCGAGGTCATATCGGGATAGGCAAAAATTGCGTAGCAAACAAAACTTTTCAAATCAACATGTGTACCTGGTTTTTATGTGTGTCCAATCATACTTAGAAGTGAAATATAATCTAATATTGCTTTAAATCCAATGAAAATGTGTCATAATATAAAAAATCAACATTCATCAACATTCATCAACATTGCGTTCAAAATTTCAAATCGGCTAATCTAAAAACGGATTTCTTCGTGAAACGAAACGAAATTTTATTCTTCTGTGTGTAAACCTCCTTTGCACAGGAGCACATGATGTTTAACCCTTACTATAAGATTACGTACACATATAACAGAAATTATTATGTCACATGATAAATTTACATGAAGACTTTCTTTTTATCTAAAATAACAACTAAATAGAATATAAAAAAAAAATCTAAATCAACGATACACTTGATTAATATTCAACTAACGGTCTTCCTGTACTGTAACAGCTGAATTATCTCAGTCATTTTCATCTATGTCAGGAATGATTTTATATTTAGTTTACAGTTTGATAACTTTGAATGGCTTCAATTGAAGAGAATTATCATTTATGCTTGGTTTTTAAATAAAAATGGAAGTGAAACACCGATGATAATATCGATATTTAATATACAGTCTAGTTTTAACCGGACAAGTCTCTATGTACAACTCCTTGGGCGAACGAAGCAATCTTCATTCACCCATTAGTCGGAATGACAGTATTGATATTTATTATACAGTTCAGTTTTAACCGGTCCAGTCTCTATGTACAACTCCATGGGCGAGCAAAGCAATCTTCATTCACCCATTAGTCGGAATGACAGTATTCAGTGATATTTATTATACAGTTCAGTTTTAACCGGACAAGTCTCTATGTACAACTCCCTGGGCGAGCGAAGCAATCTTCATTCACCCATTAGTTGAAAATGCCACAAGAAATTGTTAACTTAGTTTTTGTCATCTTCACGTTCTTTGTTAAGGAAAGTCTGCACATTGAAAAAGCATCTCTTTTGGCCTGGACACTTTTCAATGCACACAGAACAACATCTACAGTAAGAACAATCACAATGTTGCAAGTCGCATCCACTACATATATTACTTTCCGACAGACTTTCAACTGTTTTCTGGTCGGAAAGAAGTGATAGTACTTGCGTACGGATACACGTATTTTTCAGAGACACAGTGAACATGTCGTAAATGATGAGACTTAGCCCTTGTCGACCATCTCTCGCACAACGGCCTGCCTCTTGCCAGTAAGAAAGTACAGATTTAGGGCATCCAATATGTACAACCAAGTCTACGTCCCGTATGTCTAGACCCATACCCAAAGCAACTGTAGCAATCACACATCGGATCTTACTTTCTTTCAGTTTGAATTCTTTTAAAATTCTATCTTTTGAGTCTTGGTGTGTACTTTTATGGAACATTTCTATTAATATATTATTTGGGTCTTTGATGCAATACCACGAATGCGTAGATGACCAATCAGCCATTTGAGACTTTCATCTTAATCAGATGTTACTCTTTTATAGAATTGTATATAGATATTAGCTCTGTCGGGACTCTTGAACACGATGTCTGTACACTCATCAGATAACTGTAAATACTTTAAAATGTCGGCTTTTACTTCTTTTGTGGATGTTGCAGTCAAGGCCATTACAGGAACATCAAAAAAACTTCTAAGCTCAAAAAGTCTTTGGTATTCTTTTCTAATACTCTCCCCCCATTCAGACACACAATGTGCTTCATCAATTGCAATTAATTTAAGTTTTTTTTGCCACGAATCTGACATAAAAACACTTCTCCATTGCAGCATCAATGCTGATTCCGGAGAGGAAAACACACAAGAGAATTGTCCTTCTTTAATACCTACAAAATAATAAATGATTTCGTTATCGCAGAACTAGTATATAGTGTTATATGAAAGACAACGCCCATAATAAGCCTATATGTTTTATTTTTATAAAACATATAGGCTAAATATGGGCGTTGACCTCCAGGCAACACTTTTCTCCCGATTTAAAAAAAAATATTCCCTCTACCTTCTTTCATCTATATAAGATTAGACTTAAAAACAGATTTACTGGCAAAATAGAGAATGGAAACGTGGGAAACAAATATCATGTGTCAATTGAAAGGAACAAAGATGCAAATTACAGCAATGAATTAAAAATTAAAGGGGAAAAGGGGATTCCTCCTTTTAATTAGTCAACTCCCGTATACATTAATGGCATCATTTCTCGAGATTAATATATCCACGAAAAAGACATTTATAGCTGATAATGCGGTATAGGGATTGCTCATTGTTGAAGGCTGTACAGTGACCTATAGTGGTTAATTTTTGTGTCATTTTGGCATTCATACCACCATCTTCTTTTTTATATTGCATGCAAGGTTTCAAAAGTTATTTTACCTACCTAAAATATCATCCTTGTCCATATCAGAGCCAATTTTTGTACATCTAAAGTTGAAGCCTCGAAGACTGGATATTTGGTCATCTATTAAAGATGTGAGCGGAGATACCACTAACGTGATCAGACTCATCAGATAGAATAGTTGGAAGAACGATGCAAAGTGTTTTATCATAGCCTGTTGGGAGGAGTCCTAAAACATTTCGTCCATTTATAACTGCCAAAGCTACTTCAATTTGCTCATCTTTAACCTCAAATTTCATGTTGTATTCAGACTTCAGTGAATTGAACTTTTCTTTTGCACGGATTGCGTCCATCGTTTGCCAACTTTTTATTAACAAAACTCTGACGTGTCAGTTTGGCGCGTTTTCTTTTGGCGCGTTATTACGTTATTACAAGCTGCATTGTAAAATGTCTTGTGCAAATTGTAACAAAGTATTCATAGAAAAGCCAAACCATTCAGGTTATTACAGATATTCGTTGGAAAACTCGTTACCCTGTGGCGATGAAAGTGCTAGAAACATTCTCGTCAACATTACAGGATCTCAGTTAACACCAGTTCCAAATAAACGACAAGGACAATTTTTATGCCCGGAATGTTGGTCAAAGTTAAATGATACAGCAAAATATCAAAAAGCTGTAAACGAGTTTTGGAAAAGAACTGACAATGATACCTACATTGCTCAGAAAAGAAGGTTGACTTTAACGCCTGGAAAGTCCCCTTTGAAAAAATTTGGTCGGATTAGTAGTCCTTTGCAGGTATGTGAAATATTCCATATCGACATTATTAAGAATGCAATTGTACACATTTCCAACCCTTTTTATACATGGACATCATTCAGTCATGATATAAAGACATAGATATCTGTAACATATATATATATATATAATCGCGTCTAAAAGAGGGACGAAGGATGCCAAAGGGGCAGTCAAACTCATAAATCGAAAATAAACTGACAACGCCATGGCTAAAAAAGGAAAAAGACAAACAGACAAATAACAGCTTACAAGGCACAACATATAAAACTAAAGACTAAGCAACACGAACCCCACCAAAACTAAATAACAGCCCAACAATGTTAGATAGGCTGTTAAAAATCTAGCATATCTCTCTCTCTCTCTCTCTCTCTCTCTCTCTCTCTCTCTCTCTCTCTTATCTGATCAGCTGTTATATTATCTTTCTCTCTGTTATCTGATCTGATCTTGTATTATCTATCTGTTATCTTATCTATTCCTCTCTCTCTCTCTCTCTCTCTCTCTCTCTCTCTCTCTCTCTCTCTCTCTCTCTCTCATCTTATCTTTCTCTCTGTTACAAAAATGTATCTTATCTGATCTGATCTTGTATTATCTATCTGTTATCTTATCTATTCCTGTTGGTCGGCTGGACGATCAAAATAAATATGCCATTTTTCCTTTCTTTCTAACAGAAAAGGAAATCAAGTAAAAGTCTATTTACCAAGAAAGGGACACAGGCTACAAAATGGGACCATATCATAACCGCCATTAGAGCAAGACAATACCGTAGAGCAATAAAAGGACTGTATGGAGCAACTAAAGGATCGAAAAGGAGTTTCATTGAAATAACCAAGCAGATTGTTCGAAAAGAAATTTCTGAACTGCTTCATAGCGATACTGGAAATTCTTTCCCTCTATTTCAAAAAGTTAATATTATACCAAATTTAGAAACTTTCTCATGGGACGAGGCCCTTACTAAGCTCCAAGATTCATGCCTTCTGTTATATAATGCCCTGAAAGGTGCTATGACATCAAAACAATGTGAAAATAGTTTGGTTAAAGGTAAATACGTAAATTTGAAACCAAAGATCGGCACTGTAGCTGCTCTAATCTTGCATGCCAAAGCTCCACGTAAAGCAAGTTTTTTGCCAACATTGTTCTCAATCCAGTTTTGGAGAGGTGGTTTGAAACGAGAATTGATAAAACACCTAGCTCATACTGGCATCTGCACAGGTTACGATACAACTCTTGTAGCAGTGGATAACATATCTTCAGATTTTGATTCAGCTGCAGTAGTTTGCAAAGAGAAAATTGAGGGACAGTTTCGGAACGTGCCAGTCGCCGAATTGCGGCAACACGAAGCAGCTAATCCGGATTTAAGAATTGCTTTGGCTGCTACAATGCAAAACATTGAAGATGAGATTGTTGAACCTTCATCAAGTACCGAAAATATCAATAATGACAATCTCGATGACAATCTCGATGACACAATACCATATGGACTTGGTGAATCTGATTCCGATGATGGTGATGATCACGAAATTTTGGAAGAAAGTTCGGATGACTCAAATGTAATACCTGCAGATGAAGACCTGAGCTTATCTGATGAAGATATTGCCGAAATTGACAGCGAAACTGAGGAAGTAGAAGAACAAGAAATAGCACATCCTGGATTTACCATGTGTTGGGATAATGTAGGAAAAAAGGTCACTACAAGAAATCCGTCTGAAGATAAGAAGAACATGTACCTCAATATGGCGCTCGGGTACATAGGAGTAAACAGAGTTCAAACAACGCATCTTGATTGGGAAGTTAATTGTGAATTAAAGAAGGCCGTAAATTTATCTCCTGGTATTTTTGTTCCCAACGCTAAAGACACCGAAAATCTGGAAAATAGAATGAAAGTAATCGTATCCAGAATAATCACAAGACATTTGCGCTGGTTCAATAGACATTTAGGTGACTGCACCACTCCACATATTCTGCATGAATACTCTAAAGAATCTTCAGAAAGAAGTATATTGATAAACCTTGGGGTTTTTGATGTAGACCCATCATCCACTCAAGGGGCAATCACAATTTACGATAATTTACAGCGATATATTCCATCTGTACGAGAAAAGCCATATACTGCTATAGTATTCGGTGACGGTTTAAGCTGCGAAAGAGGAAATGATGCTCACCGTGCCCGGTGTAACGGTCTGAACCCATGGGAGCGTTTAGAAGGTCGTGAGCCTGCTGTTCAAGAATTCCATAAGGAAATGCTGCTGCTGCAGGATTACTATGACGAATTATTCAAAGGGTCAAGCGCGGCAGATAGAGGCACCCTAAGCCATCTAAAAAAATATTTTTAATTACAGGCAAGTGAAATCAGATATATCTGACAACTTTAATCACGCATGGGAATTAATGTGCCTTACCACGGAGGGGTACGTTTGTCTTCTTGCAATGAATTTATTAGACATGAAAAGCGCTAATGACAGACCCAACTCTGCTCCAGAACAAATTGAAAATTCGTCAAACGATGACAGAGCCCAGTACCTTCATTCTGTATCAACAGCAATTGTCAAAGAATTATGGCATCATATAGATCTGGACCCCCTTCAATTTGATGACAATTCAGAACCAGATCGCTATTGTTGCGGAGAGGAAACTGAAGATGTAATTTTGTGTGGAGCGGGGCGAAACTGTTCACATGGAGAACTGTTCCATTATACTTGCGTTGGTTTGGATCCGGATGACCTTCCAAATAACTGGTTCTGCAGTGATGCATGTAAGAATCATCAAGATATATATCCGTATTGCACTTGTCAGCAAGATCTGGGAAACGATGAGCCCATGATTGGCTGCAGTGCTGGATCTAGATGTACTGGTCAGGAATGGTATCATTTGAAATGTATAACTATGACAGCCGACAGTTTACCAGAAGGGGATTGGTTCTGTAAAGCAGCTTGTAAGAAGGCAAAAAAGGGCAAACCAAAGAGGAAATCAAAATCAGCAAGCAAAACCGACCATTCTCCTAATTCTGATTTCAAATGCAACTACAGCAGAGCTATTGCTTGGGTTGGTCTAAATCTTCTTTGCCGTCGGGATGCTGTAAGAGAGGCTGATGGTGAGGCTATGCTAACACATTGGAAATTCGACCTTATTCATTTCTTCTCAACGAAACACCCAAAATATTTGATTCTGGCACACCGTTTGTTGATCTCTGTGAATGGATGGCTCCCCGAAAAGTTGAAGAATGACCTAATTTACAACAGAACGGTAAATTATGGTGGTGGTATGGGTAGAAATCTTCCTCAAGATTTTATGAATGAAATTTTGAATAGGCTTTTTAAAGACATTCTAGATGCTGCTAAAGGGAGGTATACAAAAACCACAATCCAACGATGTGGCCAGATTGTAGGTCCACTTGGCGAGGCGCTTGATTCTGTGTTTGAATCCCAAATTATAGAGAAAGAGTTGTATAGACACCGAAGAAGGGAATCAAACAGAGACAAAAATGTTGAAAGAATGATCACCTTTCTTCAAGGAGACGACCTTTTCTCTACAATCAACGGACGGCATCATAGAGCTTTTGATCCATTTGTTCATAATGAGAATCCAAAGTTCCCCGGAAAGTTTCAACCAAAAATGAAACAATTATCAAAGAGACTTGATAAACGACGAAGAGTGATAGTCGATGCGTAGAATGTACTTACAATTTCAAGACTGGGGAGTTTTTTTTTATTGTCAAAATGATCTGCATATTAATTGCTTCTAAAAGATTTTTTAAAATTATTGATTAAGATACGACCAACAAATTTCTATTTGATTTGAACTTTTTCAGTTTTTTTGGCATTAAGTTTTCGTTGTCCTGAATATGTACGAAATACTTGCAACCGGACTTTAAGTACAAACAACTATTTTTTTGTTATCTTTATTTGAATAATTATAGATATCAAACATGTCTAATTAAATACATGCTACTTTGTGTATATTATGCATGAAATATTTGCGACTTGACTACTAGCAATTGAGCAAATCAATCTATTTAATTTCGTGAGAAAACTTTTCTACGATCCCACCATAGTCTGCAGTTGAAGACCGTAAGGCTTTTAGCGGGAAATCACACGTGGCATTCTTTTTACAAAAAATGTCTCAACACGCAGTGCGTAAGCAATTAGACAGGTTTGATGATGATTTTCAGAAGAAAATTGGTGGTCACCAACGTCGGGAAGCCTTTCTTTTAACTGACAGTAAAGGGAATTATCTATTGAGGAGTGTACAGCGCGATGAGAAGATTATTAATTT